TCAATTTTGAAATTGTTATTAAAACGATTACGTGATTTACAGTTGATTTGTCAGTGCCAACAACTCTAAATTTAACAGATATTCATTTGTGATAAAATAATTATGTGTATATATTATTATTGTATATTATATTTTTATTTTAATAAATTTAACGGAAGATTATTATTCTGGGTGATATATGTACGAGACATGAATTTCTTTTTTGATGTGAAACATCTTTGGCGCGCCTAAGGGGTAAGACTCAAGCGTGGCAAGACAGGACGACGCTTCGGGTAGTCTCGTGACTAGTCCGATGTTTTCATCTTTCACTTCCTTATTTACAAAAATCAATTTCGATGTTTCACATCTGCCTTAATGATTATTTTTTTACAGTATTACGTTGATCGTATTAATTGTAACTAAAAATGGGTTAAATAATGCTTGCTAACCCAATCTAAGTTTTTGTTTTTGTGTTTTTTACTGTAAATGTTTAAAATTTATACATTAACACTGCTGAGAACTAACAAAATGTTATAGTTATTCAACGAATCTTTCTTCTTATTTTTTTATATCTTGAAATTATTATTTATTACACATCTTAATGTATTCGCAAGTAATCTATTTCTGAGTATTAATAACGAGTACTTAATAGATTATTTTGCATGCTTAAGTAACTATGCATTTCTTCTTACTTGTCTATTATTAATCCAGGGAATTAATCTTAATCGTTCTTAAAAAATAGTTTTTAAGACTCAGAAGGAAATATGAATATATATTTTTTATATATATCTGCTAATCATTATTTTGCATGTTTTATTTAATATAATTTGAACACTGTACTATGATTTGAAAAAAGCAAAACTGGTAGGGAAAATATGTCTTTTTATGGCTTCTAAAATTGAATTGATTTTTAGTTACCCTCTAAGTTACCTAATGTGATAATAATTCGGAAAGAAAGGTTTATTTTGTTAAAAAAGGTAATAGTTTGAGTTTTTCTGGCAAAATTATTTTTTATACACGGTGTATAACTGCTTGCGTTATTTTTTTACTTATCTTTAGATTAGATAGTAGCATTTTTTATAGTTCCTCTTTTTTGTGTAACACATACATAAGTAGACATTTTTTATCTATGTATATTTAAATAGAAAAAGATAACACTGCGCAAAATCATTATGACTTTTAGTGTTTCGAAGTAAGTACTAAGTGCTCTTACTAATCCTAGTCATAAACTTGTCTTTGTAATACATACAATACATTTACTGTGTAAAAAATACATACCCTATGTAAATTAAAATTGTAATAAAATGTACAATACAACGAAAACTTTGCGTTTAACTTAATATTCATTGTTTTGAGGTCAATTATATGCCCAAGTAATTAATTAATGCAACAGCCTATCTACAATAAAGTCGTTAGGAATTTCTTCAACACTTTTTCTCAATTCGTCTACTTCACAACAGTAAGAGTACCCTTTTGCAGCATTGGTGGCGTCCCATGTTATCCAGGGTAACTTTTTACAAATATCACGGCATAAAACGTCTTCCTGATAAACAAATAAATAAGGATTGTTGACTGATACAAAGGCAACTCCGCATATAAATAAAAGCTATTTTATTTTATTATTTTTAAAAGTATTTAATACTGAAAATTCTTTCAGAACATTAAATCGACTTTTTAAGCCCAGTGTGATGTGACTGTAAGGCTTTGCTAGCTCGCTAGGTGCCTGTGGAATCCCACAGAACCTCCTAACTGTAGGAGACAATAAAGTTAAATTTTGAATCAATCCAAAAGCAGTAGATGTTGTCCAGTACAAAATAAGACACTAAAAAAAAGAAGAATTCATTAAAAATACATATGTATCTCCATTTTATTTTACTGATTACCGAAGGGACACAAGCAGACACAGGAATAATTAGCACACTTAAACCTCTAAATAAATTTGTTATTCCTTTTTGAAACTTTGAAGGTACATTTCTTCTTGATAACATCTGAACCTAACGAAATGATACATAAAAATAGTCAAATATCCTTTTCAAAAATGGAAAATAAGCATTTTTATTCTATGTAATGAAAATGGCTAAACAAATAAATGAAAAAATTAAAACTTACTTCTACTATGGCTAAATTCAGTAATCCTAATGTAACAGGAAAAATAAAGGTTGAATCAGATACAGTAAGATTAGGAATCCAGCCAAATCCACCAACAGTAAGACCAATAAAATTTAATTCAGCACCCAAATCTCTATTTGGTAACATATATACAAGATTTCTGAGAGACACTGAAAGGCAAATCCATAAAGGTATTTGAAATATCATTAGAAGTCCTGCCTTAAATGGATGGCAATTTTCTCTGACTATTAAATTATTCCACTGCTTCTTTATCTAAAAAAAATCGATAATTCCTCCTGTATGGTTTAGAAAAATGAACAAACGATCTTACTGATTTTCTAAAATGAAATTTTGCTTGTCTTTCGTCCCAATTATACAATTTTATTGCAACTGCTAATTCCTTTTTGAGCTCCTCAGCTAATCCTTTCATTTCTAGGTTTATATTCTCGATTTTTGCAAGGATGTACTGTTGATATACAGCTAATGGCACAGTAATGCATGTTCTAAATATAATTGTCGTAAGTACAATTGAAGCCCACCAAGGAAGGCCAGTTTTGTCATGAACATCTACTAGAAACTGTTGAATGTACCCCACTGGAGTACTTTCAGAAATTGACTTAAAGATACCAGCCTGAGTTTTAGCCAAATCTTCTACGGTACTTTTAAACGTGAACTGTCTATTATTTAAGTAAATTAAAAGGGGACCACAGGGAGAATATAATATTTGTCTTCCCAATGCCGGCTTTAAACAATGTCGAAACTGCACTTGACACGAACTTAAGTGTGCTTTTTGAAAGTTAAGATTAGATCTTAATATTTTACAATAGCTCATAACTGCACAAACTAGTTACAAAATATATACATACATAATTACTGTTAATTATTTATTTTTTGTTTGATTCCCAACAAAAATCAAACGTTTAACCTCAAATCTCGTTGTCAAAAACAGCTGTTCAACAAAGTGACAGGTAGTGGCAAATTTTATCCAGGGGCGTAGCATAAAAATTAAACAGCACATTAATAATTTATTAACTCTTATTTTCTGGTTATTATGTTAAAGACTTATGGAAATGATATAAAAATACTTTGTTGACTATTAAACAAACGTTATGTTTAAGTGTTATTTATTTGGCTGTACTTTATTAATAATTAATTTTTGCAAAGGAGTTGCTGCTGGCGTAAATTTGCAAATTAACTGAAGCTGATTGGACAATTACTGATTGGGTGGCACAACCGAAAGAGGTTGAGGTGTTACGGTTTTCTATTTACATTTTTTTGTATTCCAGTTTGTTATAATAAAACGGTCATGCTAATTATACGCGATTTTGTAATAGATGGTTTTTGAAGTGCACCAATGCGGAATTAATAGTGTAACCTAAATATTGGCTGTGTATATGACCTATATTTCGTCTTGTAGATTTTTTTAGTGTTTAATAAAAAATAATAATGGGAAACGCTATAAAAATGTATACTTCTCCACAAAACATTGTCGACAATGTTAAAGATTTGGTCACAGGACAAAAAAGGAAAAGAAATGAAATTGACGAACAAGAAGAAACTAATAAAATAATTGATTTAGCTTTACACACCCCTAAGAGGTAAGAAAATACAATTGTCATACTTAAATTGTTTCTTTCTATATTACCTTTTTATTTTGTAATTACTGATTCTAGTACTATTTAAAAGTAAGTAATTTAAATTCATGATTTTTTTGAATAGTTATGTATTTTTATTTTAATTACATGGCACTTTTGAAATTTTTTTCTTCTAAAAATTAAATAAACAAACATTTGCATATATTGCCACCAACGTCCTTGATTAAGTCAGAGTATCT